CTAGGCACTCAGTGAACATGGTGGGTGGAAGAAGGAAAGAGGGGAGACAGAAAAGAAAGGAGGTTGATTTGGATGAATGCCTCCCTCCCTACTAGAATGCCCACCCCAGCAGGGCAGGAACCACATCTGTTTCTGATTCTCCTTCATATTTCAAGTGTCCAGCACATGGTGGGTACCTGTTTGATGAACGACTGAATGGTTGAACAAACAGCTCAAAGACTGCAGCATGGAAAATGGATTGGAGGAGGTGAAACAAGGCAGGGAGACCAGTTTGGTTACTGAAGGAGAACAGTGTTCAAAGAGGGTAGGAGAAGGAGACTAGGTTAAAGAAATATTTGTTAGATATAGCTGGAAGGACTTGTTGGTTTGACAGTTGTGCTGCAAAAGAAGAAGAGAATGAAGTCAACCATTGCTCCCAAGTTTCTGGCTTAAGTGGCTAAGGAGTGGGTGGTCCCATGTGAGAGATAAGGAAGAGGCTGAAGAACAGATCTGAGTAATTTTGCTGGGTTCAGGCATGGCCACCTTAGTTACAGGAAAGGAGTCCCGATCTAGACCCCAAGAGAGGATTCTTGGATCTCATGCAAGAAAGAATTCAGGGCGAGTCCATGGAGTAAAGTGAAAGTAAGTTCAATAAGAAAGTAGAGGAATAAAAGAATGGCTACTCCATAGACAGAGCAGCCCTGAGGGCTGCTGGTTGCCCATTTTTATGGTTATTTCTTGATGATATGCTAAAGAAGGGGTGGATTATTTATGCTTCCCCTTTTTCGACCATACAGGATAACTTCCTGATATTGCGATGACATTTGTAAACTGTCATGGCGCTGGTGGGAGTGTAGCAGTGAGGACGACCAGAGGTCACTCTCATGGCCATTTTGGTTTTGGTGGGTTTTGGTCAGCTTCTTTACTGCAACCTGTTTTGTCAGCAAAGCGTTTATGACCTGTGTCTTGTGCCAGTCTTCTATCTCATCCTATGACTAAGAATGCCTTAACCATCTGGGAATGCAGCCCAGTAGGTCTCAGCCTCAGTTTACCCAGCCCCTGTTCAAGATGGGGTTTCTCTGGTTCACATGCCTATGGCGATTGTCCTGCAAGAGAAGAGGAGTGTGAGGTCAACCACTGCTCCCAAGTTTCTGGCTTAAATGGCTAAGGGGTGGGTGGTCCCATGTGAGAGATAACAAAGAGGCTAAAGAACAGATCTGAGTAATGTTTCTGGGTTCAGGCATGGCTACCTTGGGCCAGAGATGCTGGTGAATCCAGGAGGTAATGACATATAAATTTTGATGTCGAAGGGGAAAACTTTGAGTATTCTTCTATTGAAGTTTCATGGCACTGGAAATCTAGAACTTTCCTCCAAAAGGCAGGAAGATGGGTTCTAGTCCCAGCTCTAATATTAACTTGTGCTACCTTAAACAATTTATGACATTTCAGGAATGTGTGATCCTCACAGCCTTAGCAGATTCCAAGATTCCTTTTGGCTTTGACATTCTGTACCTTCAGGTAGCCCTAGAATTTAAAAAGGAACTTTCTGATGAAAGGCTTTATCAGTCGGAGCTATTTGCATTACAAGGGATATACACTCAAATATTAGAGCTGGGACTAGAACCCATCTTCCTGCCTTTTGCAGGAAAGTTCTAGATTTTATACATAGCAAGTTAATATGTGGCTTCCTGGGGTGTTGCCTTGGGCAGTAGTCTGAGCGGAGGCCACGCTAGCCAGGAAAGAGTGCTGTGATCAGTGAATGATGTCTAGCATAGGCACAGAGTCAGAAACGGGGACATGGTTTTGTTTCAGTCCTGAAACCAAAGGTTTCCCTCTATGGCCTTTCAAATAATGTTGATTGAATGTAGGTTCTACTGTGGCTCAGCCATTAGCTCTAGGTAACCTTAGTTTAATCATTTTATATGCCAGAGCTTGACAGTTTCCTTATTTGTCAAGCAGCAGTAATAGTCCCCATCTTTTCTACCATCATTGTTGAAAGGATCTAATGAGAAACGAAGCATAGAGCCCTGTAAGGAGCAGAATCAGATACAAAGATACAAAGGAGAATCAGAAACAGATACCGTTCCTGCCCTGCTGGGGTGGACATTCTAGTAGGGAGGCGGGCATTCTTTAACCTTTATGTAAATTCACCTGTGTGACACTGTGAGATCCAGACATGTGGATGAAAGAGCAAACACTTCTCATCTCCTGAGAGATGAAAGTTCAAAATTTTATTGCTAATGAATTAATTTTAAAAGTGTAGATAATCTTATAATAAAAGAACTCAGAAATAAATAAAATAAAAGAAGGTCTCATAAAATTGTCAAATAAAAATCACGTAAGAAAAGAGTCAGCAAACCACCATGGCACAGGTATAGCTATGTGACAAACCTGCATGTTCTGCACATGTATCCCAGAACTTAAAGTATAATTTAAAAAAAAGAAAGTGTCGATGAAAAGAGTCAAACTCTGTCAAATACTTGAAGAGATTTATTCTGAGCCAAATAGGAGTGAGCAGGACCTGTGACACAGCCCTCGGGAGTCCTGAGAACATGTGCCCAGGGTGGTTGGGCTGCAGCTTGGTTTTATACCTTTTAGGGAGGTGTGAGAAATCAATCAAATACATTTGAGAAATATGCAGGTTTGGTCCAGAAAAATGGGACAATTTGAAGGGGGGGATTAGGGGGCAGCTTCAAGGCTATAGGTAAATGTGAACATTTTCTGGTTGACGGTTGAGTCTAAAGACCTGGGATTGATAGAAAGGGAATGTTCAGGTGAAGATAAAAGATTATGGAGACCAAGGTTCTTTTGAAGTCTTATAGTGGCTGCCCTTAGAGACAATGGATGACAAATGTTTCCTATTCAGACTTTTAAAAGGTGCTAGACTCTCAGTTAATCTCTTTAGGATTGGGAGGGCCTGGAAGAAAAAGATCTAGCTATCATAGTAGAGCTTCTTTACAGATGTAGGTTTTACCCCACAAAAAAAGTCTTTGCAGGGCCATTTCAAAATATGACAAAAAAACATGTTTGGGGGTAAAATATTTTGATTTTCTTCTTTGTCATGTAATGTTGTGCCAGAGTCAGATAGGAAAGTAAGTCACGATATATAGGGTTAAATAAAACCCATCTGATGAGAATTTATGGTTTGTAGGGTGTGACTCCCAGATGCCTTAGACAGAAATTTGGGCAAGATAAGAAAAAATCAGAGCTTAGTCCTCAGAAGAAAGAAAGACAGAGAAAGAGAAGTAAAAATGAAGGAAGAGAGGGAGGGAGGAAGAGAGAGAGAGGAGGAAGGAAGGGAGGAAGGGAGGAAGGGAGGAAGGAAGGAAGGAAGGAGTCATTGAGTGCTGGAGAGAGTGTAGTTAAATTGAGTGGAAATTGGTAAAACTCTTCTGTAGAGGAGTTGGCAATATGTATCAAGAGCCTTAACAGTGTTTATACTCTTTGGCCAAATAATTCTATGTTTTATAATCCAGATCAAAGGTCAGCAAACTTTTTAAAAAAGGATTGGGTAGTAAACAGCTCAGGTTCTTCAGGCCTCACAGTTTCTGTCAATTGAGTTTCAACAAGCACTCAATTCTACCATATCAGAACAAAAGCAGCTATGGATTAGACATAAATGAATGGATATGGTTTTGTTTCCGATAAAACTTTGTTTACAAAATAAGGATGTGGCCAGATTTGGCCCGTGGGTCATAGTTTGCCAATCGCTGATCTAAATTAAGAAAACAGGCCTGGTGTGGTGGCTCACACCTGTAATCCCAGCACACTGGGAGGCCAAGGTGGGAGGATTGCTTGAGCCCAGGAGTTCAAGACCAGCCTGGGCAACATGGTGAAACCTCATTTCTAAAAAAAAATACAAAAATTAGCCTAGTGCAGTGGTGCTTGCCTGTGGTCCCAGCTACTCAGGAGAATCATCTGAGCCTAGGAGGTAGTGAGCTATGATTGTGCCACTGCACTCCAGCCTGGGCAGCAGAGTAAGATCCTGTCTCAAAAAATAATAATAAATAAATAAATAAGAAAACATTTTTAGAATTATGCTAAATTCAACCTTCTAAATACAAAGAGAGGTTTAGGTGAAAAGAAAAGTTGCTATTACAGCTTTATTTGTAATAGCAAACTATTGGCACAACTAGAACAGTCATCAATGGGGGATTCATTAATTTTGATAGTTCCACTCAATGAAATACTAGGTACACATGAAAATCCTGTTTATTAATAATTTATAACAACATGGAGAAATGCTTGATAGAACATTACATGAGAAATAGAGACAAACTTATTTGTAATGATGATAACGGTGGTGGATAATATCTAAGCACTTTACACAAGTGATATCATTTAACTCTCCAAACAGACCTTTGAAGTATACTTTTCGATTGTAATGACTTTCCTTATGGAGAAGCTGATGGTGACAAACATTAAGTAATTTAGTCTAGGTTAAGCTGCTGGCAGGTGTCAGAGTTGGAATGTGAATACAGGTCTGTTTAACTGCTAAAAGCAAAAACAGAGGCAAACAAACCAGCCAAGAAAAATCCCAAATTAAACTCTGTTTATTAAAAAAAACAGAAGAAAAGACACCCAAAAGTTGTTATCGGCTGTCATGATTGGTAGGTGATAGGAAGATCGCTTAACATGTTCAGTATTTTCTCTAATGAGAATGTATCATTTTAATAAAAAAGAACAGGTGAATTTCATAGGCAAACCAACAACGGCAGAATGGTAGGTAGGATTGTGGGGAGAGAAGTGTTTATTTCGGGGGTCTAGAGGTTCCCTTGGGGATGCCCTTAATCCTCTTGGTCCTGCTCTTTGTTTGTGAAAAGGACGTGGTGCTGCGTTTCCCTCTGTCTTGTTCTAGGTGGAGTTTCTAGTGTGTCTTGTTTGGACTGTTGGCCTATCTTTATGCTGTTCTTGGGTTGACATGCCAGTCTCTAACTCTCTCTAACTCTCTCTGTCTCTCTCTCTCTCTCTCTCTCCCTTCTCTTTCTTCCCCTTCCTCATCCACCTGTTCCGCTGTGCAGCTGACAAGGTCAATGATGACTTCTACACCAAGCGACGGCACCTGGCTGAGCTGGCTGCTAAGGGGAACCTACCTTTGCACCCCGTAAGAGTGGAGGACGAGCCCGGGGCCTTCAGCCCTGAGCATGGTCCTGCCAAGCAGAATGGACAGAAGTCCCGCACCAGCAAGATGCCCCCACATCCCCTGGCCTACAACTCTACCACCAACTTTAAGGGCTGGGACCCCAACGAGCAGTCCCTCCGGCGGCAGGCTTACGGCAACAAGGGCAAGCTTGGCACGGCCGAGACAGGCTCCAGCGACCCCTTGGGAACTCGCCCCCAGCATTACCCACCCCCACAGCCATACTTCATCACCAACAGCAAAACAGAAGTGACTGTCTGAGCTTTCACCACAGGGAGCACCCTGGAGACCACACTCAACTGAGAGAGGCAAAAAACAACCCCGCCCACACCCTCCCTGTCCTCCCCCAACACGTGCGTCCACACACTCACTCTCAACAAGAACCAACTCTAAACCTACTGGGGACACGGAGTCGCATTTTTCCTAGGTCATGCCTATAACGTGTCGGCGGGCAGCTGAGAAAGACCGAAGCGTGGACATTCAGCAATACAGCAAAGAGGAAAACTGAGGCACACTCTTTCCACTCCGGGACCAAGGTGGCCAACTCACATGCCCAAACCATGGGGCTGAGTTTTCTTTTCCTCCTAACTTGAAACTGAAATCCATGATGACAAAATATAAAAGTAGCACAATTTAGAGAAATTGTCCATTTGAGCACATACACTACTTGCCACGTGCTGTCTGTTTCTAGGTTCGAGAGCCAGGGTGGAAGTGGGGAAAGAGAATGAGGGAGGACACAGAGAAGAGTGCATTCTGGAAGAGGAGTTGTTCTGGGAGGAATTTGCCCACATCAGAAGCATTTTTCTAATTGCAAGAAGTGGTGACGTGGATGTAAAATTTTGACAGAGCATGAAACAGTAACTGGACCCCAACCATTCTATTTATAGTACTTTTCATATCATCCATATTGAACGCAAAAAACAACACACTCTGAAACTCACAAAAAATAAATAGACCCTGAACCCACCAGCAATGATGGGAAGGAAAAAAACAAACAAAAAAACATTTTAGAGAACTCCCATAAGGACCATGACTGTGGAAATGGGAGGGATGGGCTTTTATGATAGGGAGAGGGTCCGGAGAGTATCAAATAACTTTTTAAAAAGAGAATTAAAATGTAAGCCCACTACAAAACAAACAAAAACAGCAAATGAGGTTGTTTTTTTTTTTTTTTCCAAAATCTTGAAGACTTGTTGACATTAACAACAACAAATCCACAGCTGGAAAAGTCCACAGGAGATCAGATGAGGATCCAGAAGCCTCTGATTTCTGGGTTTTGCCTCTAAGACCTGAAACAGCCACAGAAACAAGTCCTCTATAAACTGTATGTCCCTGATATCCCTTTCCCTTCAGCGCGTTGCCGCCGCCGCTGCCAAACTTTAACTGCTTTGGACTGAAAATGTCATAAGCGTGGGTGGTGCCTTCAATGTGTTACTGTTGTTTCATGACAGTCTTGTTTCCCAAGTGCAACCTGTGTTCTTTTAGCCTTCCTTCCTCTTGTTTTTCTGCAATAGTAGAAGATGTTTCCATCCTTCCTTTGTAGGTGAGCCCACCCCATAACACCCTCTGAGGGGCTGCTACAATGTCAGGGGTGCCCAGGAGCAAAGACCTCCCTACTCTCTACACTATCAAAATGAGTCCTTCCATTGTCTAGCCCTCCCAAACCTGCCAGATGTTTCTTGGTCCCATAATTCCCATGGTCCCTCCAAATTACCTCCCCACATACTTCACGTGTTCATCTGCCATACAGAATATCCTGAGGTTCTTTTTCTGGTTGGTTCTCATAATCCATAGTCCTTGGGGTCCCCCAACAAAGTCAGTTTTCCTACAAGTTGTGTTGGTTTTGTGGAAGCCCAAAGAAGTGGATTGAGAGAGAAGAGATTTTTATCTAATGTGAAAGGTTTTTCAACTAGCCCCTAAAGGTCTTAGGTAGTTAATTAACCTTCAACAGACCCACAGCAATTCTGGTGTCAGAAGCTATAAATGGTCTGGCCAAACAAGACTTAGAGTATTTTCTGAAATCCTGAACTGCAGGATTCTGCCTCACCTGTCTCTCCACTTTGACATCATGAAATCAGCAAAACCAGATATTTATTCTCCTTTTCATTCCCAGCAGATACGAGGACACCAACAATGCAGTTGATCCCTCTGGGCCTCAGTCTCCCATCTGAAACATGGGGAATTGCGGTAGGTCAAGCTTTTTGAAACCGCAAAACCTCTACCTGTTTTTAAAAATGAGATCTTCTGGCCAGGCACAGTAGCTCACGCCTGTAATTCCAGCACTTTGGGAGGCTGAGGCAGGCGGATCACCTGAGGTTAGGTGTTTGAGATAAGCCTGGCCAACATGGTGAAACCCTGTCTCTACTAAAAATACAAACATTAGCTGGGCGTGGTGGTGGGCACTTGTAATCCCAACTACTCGGGAGGCTGAGGCAGGAGATCACTTAAACTCAGGAGGTTGCAGTGAGCTGAGACCGCACCACTGTCCTCTAGCTTGGGTGACGGGGTGAGACTGTCAAAAAAAAAAAAAAAAAAAGAAGATATTTCAAAGAACGCACAATAGGAGATCTCCATGTATAAAAAGGCACTGTGCTATACAAAGCAGGGGTCAGAGATTTAGTGCCCACCTTCTCAGCCTCCTTGGGAAGACCACAGAGCTTCCCAGAGTCAAGTAAATACCACTGGACATGGTCAGAGTTTCATTGACGTTAATGAGCTCTGTACCTGCAACACACTTTGGCATCTCTGTGTATTACCTTCACAATATTTGTACCTAAATTGATTCATTTTAGTGCATTATGTTTTTAAAATGAAAACTTCCTGTCCTCATCACAAATTTTAAAAAAATAATCAGTTGCCATAAATAGAAGGTAAGCATAAAAATAAATAAAAAGGAAACAAGCAGCAATGATTAAATTCCAGCTGGAGTCTGCTGTCTGTGAGTCTGAACTAAAGCCTGGAGTTCTTTCTTTCTCTCTCTCTCTTAAAATGATATTAGCAGGTATTAAATAATTGTTAAAGATACCAGCACCCAATGAAGACTTTCTCTTTGTACTAATAGGTGGACTGAAAAGTAAATGAAAGGGGAATCATTTCCTATGCCAGTCAGTGTTGAACAATGCTGTAGCTGTGTACTGACTATGATCATTGTGCATGCACTAGGGGTGCACAGCCCACACTTCAGAAAACCTTGAGTTGACTTATCTGTGAGGCTCTTTCTCGCTCAAAGTTTCTGTAATTCGTATCTCCCTTTTACCTCATCGTTGCTCTTTGCCCCCAATCCACTTCATCTCACCCTTATCTCAACTCTGATTAAGAGTCTGTCTTGGCCTCTAAATCTATAGTATTTTATTCCTTCTGCATGCTCCTTCTCCTCTGAGTAAACTTCATCAATTGAACTGGGCTCCTTGGGGTCTGCAGTTGTAATTTTGACAGTAGAAGTGCAGCCTGGTCATTAAGATGTAGCCACAATGATGGCCCAAGAAAGACAAGTACTTTCCAAGTAGTCCTGTCTAGGATGGAAAGCTCAGGAAGTGCTTCATAGTTTATTATCTTCCAATTGGCTTTGGGAGATGAACTGAAGAGGGAAGTTTGGACAAGGAAGGTCTTTTTATTCTTTGGCTTCCTCTTGGGATGGTAGATAGACCTCACAATACGAAAAGACGGGACAACCTATGGAACTGTCTATGACTTCCATGTACCAAGACAAGGACCCTGTAGCTAGGGTAGTGAGACCTAGGAGAGGGAAACCAGAACAAAGCAGACAGGCTGTCCTCTTCCTAATTCCGTGCCCTGACATCAGCCCCTATTTTTTGCCTTTAGCTGTCCCCCAGTTTCCAACCCAATGGGACCAGAGTCTGACTTCCCTTTGCCCTTTCACAGTGTCTCAGCCTCCATCTGCCTTGGGCTCCCCCTAGCCTCCCCATCTAACTCTTCCCAGTTTTTTGTGTAAATGGAGCATATTTTATGTGCGAATATTTTAGTAACCGTATGTTCTGCAAGTAAACCTGTGTTAATACTTGTCAACAACTGCAGAGTTTATGATACAAATAATTCTTCCTACAATGAAGAAAAAAACACATTTGTTTGTTTTCTAAGAATGTTTATTTGTAAACATATGTATTCACTATATTAATATGAATTTCTTACCTGGCAATAAAACTGATTATATGTGATGCTGTTGGGGTTGTCATGTATCTTTCCAGAGCCCTGCATCCTAATTTGTGTTTTCACCAGGGAACACCAATATTAGCATAGAGAGTGAGGTCTTTAATACTCAGAATGTATGGGAAGTTGTTTCCAGCAAAGGCAATTTCTAGTTAACAGTAACTTATACACATTTTCCAGGAGACTTTGTGTTTGAAGCCTTTTTGGTAAGTTTTGTCATATCTCCTAGTTCACATCCTTTTGCCTTTAGAAATCTATCGTTGCTAGGTTTCCTCATCATAACTAAATTTATCCTTAATGGTCAATAATCTTGCTGCGATTTGAACTTTAGTTTTGAACACTGATCAGGGTCATAGAAGACACAAATATTGAAAGGATGGAAGATTGGTTTCTTCCCCTATTTATTAAATTTTATTTCCTGTCTGGCTTCTGGTAGCATGGAGTTTAAAATTTTCAGGTAGAAACCTGTCTGACTATGGTTCCTTCAGAAATAGGCTCTGAGATGAGGATGTGAGAAATGAAGAGAATACTGGGAGGGGGTGGGAAGTTCAATAAGGAAGGGAAAGCAGCCAAGAAGAGTATGATATCATGCCAGCTACCACTATACACACCTGGGGTTTCATGCTGCAAGGAAACTTTGGGAGAGGGCGTTGAACACACACACAGAATCATCCTGCCCAAGTAACATGGAGCTTGGGTGTTTATGTGCCCACGGCCATCAGACATTGTTTCCAAGTTGTTTTCAGGGATGCTAATGTTCAGACACTCCTAGGCTGTCATGTGCAAAGGCAGAAGGATTTTCGTGGTGTCAAGAATCCCTAGGCAGCTGGGCGCGGTGGCTCACACCTGTAATCCCAGCACTTTGGGAGGCCGAGGCAGGCAGATCATCTGAAATCAGGACCAGGCTGGCCAACATGGAGAAACCCCATCGCTACTAAAAATACAAAAATTAGCCAGGTGTGGTGGCATGCTCCTGTAGTCCCAGCTACTCAGGAGGCTGAGGCAGGAGAATGACGTGAACCTGGGAGGCGGAATTTGTAGTGAGCCGAGACCATGCCACTGCACTCCAGCCCAGGTGACAGTGTGAGACTCTGTCTCAAAAAAAAAAAAAAAGAAAGTTTATTTTGCTAAGGTCAAGGACACGTGCCCGTGACACAGCCTCAGGAAGTCCTGATGACATGTGCCCGGGGTGGTTGGGGTGCAGCTTGGTGTTATACATTTTAGGGAGACATGAGACATCAATCAAGTACATTCAAGAAGTATATCGGTTTGGTCCAGAAAGGCAGGACAACTCAAAGTGGAGGCACTTCCAGGCTATAGGTAAATTTAAACATTTTCTGGTTGACAATTGGTTTGAGTTTGTCTAAAGACCTGGGATCAATAGAAAGGAATGTTTGGGTTGATGTAAGAGGTTGTGGAGACCAAAGTTTTATCATGAAGTTGAAGCTTTTACCTAGCAGGCTTCAGAGAGAACAGGCTCTAAAATGTTTCTTAACAGGCTTAAAGCCTGTGTTGATGCTAATGTCAGACAGGTATAATGAGGCATGTCAGACCCTCACTTCTCCCTTCATGGCCTGAACCAGTCTTTCACGGTCTTAGAATTTTATTTTTGGTTTACACCAGCTTTTTTTTTTTTTTTTGAGAT